CCACCCTCGCGCTGGCTGAAGCCACTAGCAATGTAGCACGCCTTGAACACTGGCGGCTCTCCAGGAGGGCGCTTCACCTTGAAGAGCCACCGGCCATCGACTGTGTTCGCCCCAGGTGGGGGACCTTCATCGACGTAAATGCCGGTGGATCTCCAAGATGCCAATGCTAGAATATACCATGCTATGCTAGTTGTGTATATTGTGTTTACATCCCTAGTTGGGTGTACACCTGTGTTGGGGTGTCAATCCAACCCAATTGTGATTGGAGCCCCCAAACACAAGGACAACAATTGTGGGGGCACCACAAGTGGGTTGCTTAAGCCACTTGTGGTCCACCATACTTGGACCACCTCCCACTTGTGGTCAACCACATTTGGAAGGATCCTCTCTCCCTTGTGATTGGTCCTAACCCCCCCTTCCCTTCCAACCTTCCCTTCCTAGCTCACCTCTCTCTTCCTACGTAATGCCTTTGCTTCATCAACAAACACAGCCTTTCTGTTTCTAACAGCCATCTCTACGTCCATGGCAGCTTTCCACTGAGAGGCCCTAGGTCCCGTAGTCGCCTAAGCGTACGTGCGAGGGGTCGGGATGTCAAAAGCGTCTGTGTTACCCTCAGGGACTAGCAGTATGGAGCCGAGATGAGGAGCGGCCTCGGAAAGGAAATCTAGCTCGTACTTCCAGTCCTCTAAGACGTCATTGCCAAGGGCAGGTGCACCCTCGACGGACGGAGGATGGGCCGGGTCGGAGACTAGAATAGTGGCATAGTCAAGGCGGCAGGTAGAGGCAAAGTCAGCGACGGCAGCGACAAGAGCCGAGAGACGGGAGACATCAACGGACGGGTCGGTAACAAGAAAGGCGAGGACACGAGGAACCAGAGGGCGAGCATCACGGAGGAAGTCAGAGAGAGGAGGCAAGAAGACAGAGAGGGACGACTCAGGAGGCAAGGGGAGAACAAGAGCGGAAGGAGCACGAGATGTGTGAGAATGGAGGAACAAAGGGTGAGAACCCTGAACAGGGGAGACGGGAGGGACAGTGAGACCAGAAGTGGGAGGGAAGCGTTGGGTCAGGAGACAACAGAGGAGACAAAGGAGAACGAGCGGGGAAATGAGCCAGAGACGAGTCCGGCAGAGGGTACACATAGCCGTAGACAGAAGGATGTGGCATTTTGAGAGGCATGGGCGGTAGGTCGGGGGAGGGAAGACCGAGGAGGCGAAGGGCGGACACTGGCGACAACTGCTGCTGCTTCGCCCCCACACCAAAACCTCCAGCCGCACCACTGCTATCTCCAGGACTCGCCATGACAGCACCCTTAGAACAGCACCCCCAGGACCAGCACCCCTAGGATTAGCACCCCCAGAGCTAGCAACCTCCTCAGAGGCAACACCGCTAGCGCCAACACCCCCAGCACCCACTAACCCGTGCTGCAGCGGCGGCTGCTGCTGCTGCTGCTACGGTGGCAAGGACTGCTGCAGCGGCGGCGGCTGCTGCGGTGACTGCTGCTGCTGCTGCGACGACTGCTGCTGCTGCTGTGGCGGCGCAGGAGATTTTGGGGCTGAGGGTGCAGGCACCATAGACACAGGCGGCAACAGACTCCTCCGCCGGGCCAACCGAAGGAAGGGGAGTGACATGAGACACACCGGACGGGGCAGGACAGGGAGAGTGAGTTACCGGGGGAGTGGGGACAAGGAACATGGGCGGGGTAACCGGGAGACCTTGGTGGGGGAAGCAGGTATAGAAGGAGATAGACTCGTCAAAGGTGACGTCACGTGAGTGAAAGAAATGGTGAGACGACGAGTGGTAGAAGTGTCAGTCAGAGGTGTCTAGGGGAAAACCAACTTTGACACAAGGGACGGTGCCGGCGGTGAGCTTGTCCATGTCAGAGGTGCGGACGTGAGCTAGGCAGCCCTAGTCGTGAAACGCAGATGCGTCACCAGGGGACCCGGTCCAGAGAAGGATTGGCGAAACTTGTTGGCGCAAAGAGCAGGGGCACAGGTTAAGCTGGTGGGCGGCGTAGCGATCTTCGAACGGCCACAGAAAATGGGGTCCACCGGCATGGAACATGGAGGTACGAGCCACCTCCACGACCAAAACAATGCATCGCTCAGTCATCCGATTCTGCTGTGGGGAGTTCGGCTATGTGTACGACTGGTAATTCCCTCCGCACGATTGAAGTAGCCAAGCCGACCGGAGGCGAACTTGCCACCACGGTCGGAGTGGAGACGCAACTCTGGCTGGGCACGATGTACCCATGCAGCTACAAGCCACGGGATAAGAACGTCAGTCACGTTGGCCTTCCGCTCCAAGGAAAACACCGTGGTGTAGCCTATGTGGGGAAATGAGGAGGAGTGAGGAGCACGGCGCCGACACAAGGAGTGCACAGAGGCACGGAAGAGGGAGGGAGGGCAAGGAGCAACGCAGGGAGACCTAAGACGGGACCATGCTGAGACATATGACGTAGACGCGGGAGTGCAGGGTGACCTAGGTGATGGTGCCATAGAAGCAATGGAGAGTGAGCGACCGACACGAGCAAGCCATAGCAACCTGGATAGACGCAGCTACCTGGGGGAACAAAGCCACCGGGGGGGGCGCAGTGTTCAGCATGAACAGGCCAGACACCGCAGTGTCAGGTCCCGGGGGGACGTGGTGAGGGGGACACCAATGGCGGCCTCAATACAGACTGCGTACCGCTCGTATTTGGGATACATAGTGGTGACGCCGAGGTCCTGAAGACAGCCGACACCAACTATGTTCCTGGAGAACGATAGGATGTGCAGACTTGTAAAAAAGCCTGAGGGAAGTGCCGGAAAGGGAAGTGTGGTGGAGCTATGTGCAACTACCGGACTAGAAGAGGGGTCGGCAAGGGAGACTGTTGCAGGGGCAGAAAGCGGCGTAAGAATGGTGTGGTCGCGAAAAAAGCAGGCGGACGCACCGTAGTCCTAGCGTGAAGGAGAGCGCGACGTTAGCGTCAGCTGGAGGGGGCACTAGCGTGGAGCCAAGGCTAAACAAGTCAGGGGGTCCTATGCTTGACACAGCAAGGGAGCCTAGACTATACACAGCAGACACATCTAGCCTAGGCAACACAGAGTAATGAGGTCCAGTCAAACTAGAGTCATCAACATACATGGCATACAAACAGGGCGAATCTGATCCATCTCAAAGACCGGCACACGGAGATTTACCAGGGTGTGCCAGTACGGGAGGTCCGGTGTGGGCCCGAAATGGAGACGGAAGAGGTCGTCGAGGCAGCGCTACCAGCGGGCGGCGGTGTGCCTGGGACGGTCACACACGGTGCCACAACGGGGACCAGTCTAAAGCTGGTACTGGCAACTCACCGCACAGGAGCCGCCACCCGACGTCGAGCTGCGAGGGCCGCCTGCGCGGCCACCACCACCAAAGCCGCCTGGCCACCACAGCGGCAAGACCCCCACTGCTGCTGCTGCTGCTACCGCTGCGGCTGCTACTGCTGCTGCTCTGGGGCGTCAGCCCCCATCCTCTCGTCTCCACACCCAGCACTCCTGCCACCGCCACCTCCCCCGCCACCCCCACCACCCCCAACACCCTTCCCTCCCTTATGCCTCCCCTTGGGGCATGGTAGAGCTCTACCTTGATGAGGGTGTGCTAAGGCCACCGCGGTTCCCTCAGCGACAGGGACTGTCTCAACGACAGCAGCGGAAATATTAGAGCAAGTGCAGTGGGAGGGAGCACAGCCTTGGAAGATAGGGACCAAAGCCAAGCAAAGCGAACCGAAGCCAAGCGAAGCACAAGGAAGCCAAGCGAAGCCAAGCACAGCCAAGTGAAACAAAGCCAAGCCAAGAGAAGCGAAGCCAAGCCAAGCGAGGCGAAGCAATGCCAAGCGAAGCGAAGCAAAGCAAAGCCAAGCCAAGCCAAGTGAAGCGAAGCGAAGCTAAGCCAAGCCAAGCCAAGCAAAGCGAAGCGAAACGAAGCGAAGCGAAGCGAAGCCAAGCGAAGCGAAGCGAAGCAAAGCGAAACCAGGGTATTCGAAGGCAAGCCAAGCCAAGCCAAGCAAAGTGAAGCCAAGCCAAGCAAAGTAAAGCCAAGCCAAGCGAAGCAAAGCCAAGCCAAGCGAAGCAAAGCGAAGCGAAGCAAAGCAAAGCCAAGCCAAGCGAAGCGAAGCCAAGCGTAGTGAAGCGAAGCGAAGCCAAGCCAAGCAATGGGAAGCGAAGCCAAGCGAAGCGAAGTGAAGCCAAGCGAAGTGAAGCAAAGCCAAGCGAAGCCAAGCAAAGCGAAGCAAAGCAAGCCAAGCCAAACCAAGCCAAGCCAAGCCAAGCTAGTCGAAGCCAAGCCAAGCCAAGCCAAGCCAAGCCAAGCCAAGCAAAGCGAAGCAAAGCAATGCCAAGCCAAGCGAAGCGAAGCCAAGCGTAGTGAAGCGAAGCGAAGCCAAGCCAAGCAAAGGGAAGCGAAGCCAAGCGAAGCGAAGTGAAGCCAAGCGAAGTGAAGCAAAGCCAAGCGAAGCCAAGCAAAGCGAAACAAAGCAAGCCAAGCCAAGCCAAGCCAAGCCAAGCCAAGCTAATCGAAGCCAAGCCAAGCCAAGCCAAGCCAAGCCAAGCCAAGCAAAGCGAAGCAAAGCAAAGCCAAGCCAAGCGACGCGAAGCCAAGCGAAGCCAAGCAAAGCAAAGCCAAGCCAAGCCAAGCCAAGCTAAGCGAAGCGAAGCAAAGCCAAGCAAAGCAAAGCGAAGCCAAGGGAAGTGAAGCCCAGCCAAGCGAAGCAAATCGTGTTGGTTAGAGAAGGCTATAAGCAGATGATTCAATGGCTCCTTGGAAATTTCTGCAGCACTTCGTTATGACGCCCAGAAAACTCGCGACCTTCGAATAGCTATATCAAAAACTCCAATCGGTGAAACGATCTGAAAATCGGATATGTTGTAGCTGGCAGTGTCAGCTTTCCACTGAAAGTTGAATCACTCGATTCCGTAGCTAAACGAGTGAGCTATGGCGTTTGGCGCACTGGGGGGTAATCTGCCCTAGGAGAAGTTGACAGTCCTCAGAGTCACTATGATTGAAGCTTACAAGATCAGAGGCATGATAGAAAAGGCATTGAAACACAGTTGGAAGGTGGGGTAGGAAGTGAAGGATGAAAGGGAAGGACCCTGGAGGCCCATGGTCAAGAACATGACAAGAGTCAAAGTTTTGACTCCCCATCCTCAGGTTCAGCCAGCCTGGCAAGACAAATTTCACACTGTGCCAGGTTGGCCTCCAAACCCCAAATGCTGCAGCTGCAAGGTGGGGACAAAAGTCCCACACATGCTGGTCCCTCCTCGTTATAGGGCTCTCCAACTTTGGTGTAGCAGCTGACAAGGACTTCCAATGAGTTGTAACAAATCCATCAAACATTTCTTCGTAACTTCTTCATATGTGCTCCGATTCCAACAATTCTTGGCTCGTTGGAATGTGCTCGATGTCATGCACAATCCAAGCACATCTGCACAAGCACAAGATGAACATGCAAAGACATGCAAACCCAACAAACCATACAAACAACGTAGCACACAAAACACATGCAAACGAAATGATGCGAACAGACGACAGGATGACGTGCAAATGAATATGCACCAACACACTCCCCCTCAGACTGTCGGCTTGTTTCGCCGTCTCTAGTTCAAGGACATTCCCGCCATCCTCGCACAGCGCCAGTGTGGCTCTTCAGCTAGCCGCTTGCACTGTATTGCCTTCTTCCCATTTGGCAAATACACCAGGTCCCATGTGTGATTCTCCATCTTGCTGTTGTACTCTGCATCTCTTGAAACGAGCCACTTCCCCCGTTGAGGCCCGGCTAGCGCATGATCCATGCTCGGAGGTTGTATTGGTGCGTAAAAGCAGTATGCAGGCTCCTTGTCATCTGACTCTTGGTCATCACCCAAGAACAGCACTGCATCTTCGCCTTGAGCCTGTTCCTGCTGCTCAGTTGTGGCTCCTCCACTTGTGGAGCTCAACAGCTTTCTCATTGCCATTCTGGTACGTGCAGGGTAGATGGTTGGATTTACCCATTCTTTCACCTTCACCCAATCCTTTGTCCCCCCACCAATCTGTTTCCTTCGCTTTGGCAGACTTGGTGTTTTGGAAGCCTCTTGCTGCTGCTGCTCCGGATCCTTGACTTCAGCATCAGCTGCAATATCCTCATTGCTTCCTTCATCAGTACCGCTTGCCGTTGGCGCAGTGACTTCGCTGTCCTCAGGTTCGGACAGATCGAAGTGCATAGTGATCTCTTCCAGCTGCTGGGTGACCCTTGCCTCCGGCTGCTTCTCCCACTTGCCATACATGATGTTCTCCACCAATTTGACATCCCGACTATCAAACAGCACATTCTTTGAGGGCTCCCAGAGTAGCCACCCCTTGCTCTCTGCCGCAAGCCCAAGGTGCACACACCAAAGTGCAGATGCTCCAAGCTTTGTCCTGTACGGTTTAGGGACATGCGCCACTGCCATGCATCCGAACACTCGAAGCATGTCCACTGGAGGCTTCTTTCCAAGCCACCTCTCCAGCGGCACCCACATATCATCAGCCACCTTTGTGAGTACGCGGTTCCTTGCCACTGTAGCATGCCTCACCGCATGAGGCCACATGGAGTTCCCCAGCCCTGATTCGATCAGCAGCGCTCGCGCAGTTTCCAGGATGGTCCTATTAGCCCTCTCAGCAACGCCATTTGACTGAGGGGTATAGGACGTCGTTAGCTGATGCTCAATGCCTTGTTTCTTGAGCCACGCAGTCAGATCTCCTCCTAGAAACTCTCCACCTCGGTCGGTTCTGATGCTCTTGCATGGGTGCCCAGATTGTCGCTCGACGAACGGCAGCCAATCATCTCGTATTGTTGAGGCAGCATGATCCTTCTGCTTCAACGGGTATGCCCACATCAGCCGACTCCAGTCATCAACTATTGTCAGGAAGTACCTTTCCCCCTTACTTCCTCGGACTGGAAAAGGTCCTACGAGGTCCATGTGCACCAGTTCCAGTGCTGCCTTGCTTTTCCCAGCTACGCCGTGAAAGGGGAACCGTGTGAACTTGCTCAGCAGACACGTCTCGCACTTGGTAGCATTTGGTTGCCCAGAAAGCTTGAGCCCCTTTACTGCTTCTTCCTTATGCAGTTGCTGCAGCAATGGCATAGCCACATGCCCTAGACGCCTGTGTGCGGTTTCCCAATCAGTCTCCCCCGACCTTGCAGAAACCGTCACTCCTGCAGCACTAACTGCATTACACTCCCCCTGGACTCCAGAACCCGCCTTTACTTCTCCCAACTCCTTCTTTGTTGATTCCCATATCAGTGCAGGGATCTGCCACATGGATCTGAAGACATCTCTGCTTTCGTGTAAATCCCATAACACACGATCTCCTCGCAGCCCCTTGAATGTTTTGGATCCATTGGTGGTGGTGCTGACTCCGGCCTGGCCTAGCTTGCGCAGCGATATCAGGTTGGCCTTCAGCCCCGGTACGAGTAACACATCCTTCAGCACAACCAGTCCACCATCAGGTGCTCTGAATGCAGCTCGACCAACTCCAGCGACCTTCACTGCATGTCCGGATGCTGAGCGCACTTCAGAGATTGGAGGCGCTCGCACAGCATCCAGCAAGTCCTTGCGTGGTGTCATTGTCCATGCAGCACCAGAGTCCATGACCCACATGTCAAGCGGGTGCAATTCCTCTCCAGCCCTTGCAACAGCTGTGCCACTGTCATCTTTGTCACACACATGGTAGAACTGTCCAGCATTCCTCTCCTCATTTCGCATTCCTCTGTCATCCTTGGAGGTTTCTTCAGCAGGATCAGCTACCATGTTGGCACCTCCATGTGGTTGTTTTCCTCCATTCCCCTTCTCCGATTGGTTCCAAGGGGTCCACCAGTCGGGCTTGGTAGGGCAGCGAAACCATGGATGCCCTTCTTCCTTGCAATACCAGCACTCTCCCCTCAAGCGTGGTTCACTGTTGTCATTGTTGGAGTGACCACCTCTTCCTCTTGCACCAGCGCCACCACGCCCCCGCTGGTTCCAAGTCCCGCGACCACCTTGGCTGTGGTAAGAGCGACCGCGATTGCCACGCCCTCGATCCCTCCATGTCCCTTGCATGGCATAGCCGCTGGTGCTGTCATCACCTCCGCGCAGTGTATAGCGACGAAAATCTTCTTCCAGAATCTTGGTGCGAATCCACTCCAATGTCCATTGACTTTGGTTTTGTGGCAAGCTGAGTCCGCTTATAAATTGCAGCCAAGACTCCGGCAGCAGGCTGAGCATCTTGAGACACTTTGTCTGCTCTGGGTACGTGATGCCTGCAATCGCCAATTTCGCGTAGAGTTCCCTCATCTTGTCCAGTACGGGCTGCACAGCTTCATTCTCGCTCAACCGCAGCATGGACAGCTCCCGATCCAGCATGAGAGAAGCGGCAACCGATGTCGGAGCGTGCAGGTCCTTGAGCACTGCCCATGCCTTGGGCCCACAATCAATTTCCGGTAGCAGATGCATGATGTGATGCCTCTGGTTCAGCTCCAAGCTTTGTGACAGTAGATAGTACCCAGCAGATGAACGTTCATCCCAGTCCGCTTGCTCTGCCATTTCCTTTGGCCTTGGCTCCGTTCCAATCATGAGCTTCAAGAGGCCAATTTGTCGAAAGTAGAGCTGCATCTTCCATGCCCAATCATCATAGCCATCTCCAGAGAACTTCTCAATGGTGAAGTTCTTCAGCACCTCCTTAAGCAGTGACCCCTGGCTTGTACGCGCTCCCCTTTGCGCTGCAATGCCAGAATCTTGGGTTGAGCTGCCTCCTTGGACTGAAGTATCACCTCCACCAGAGTCCTCTTTATCTCCCATCGTATTTTAGGTCCCAAATGCGTGATAATAGGCTCTGATACCACTTGTTGGTTAGAGAAGGCTATAAGCAGATGATTCAATGGCTCCTTGGAAATTTCTGCAGCACTTCGTTATGACGCCCAGAAAACTCGCGACCTTCGAATAGCTATATCAAAAACTCCAATCGGTGAAACGATCTGAAAATCGGATATGTTGTAGCTGGCAGTGTCAGCTTTCCACTGAAAGTTGAATCACTCGATTCCGTAGCTAAACGAGTGAGCTATGGCGTTTGGCGCACTGGGGGGTAATCTGCCCTAGGAGAAGTTGACAGTCCTCAGAGTCACTATGATTGAAGCTTACAAGATCAGAGGCATGATAGAAAAGGCATTGAAACACAGTTGGAAGGTGGGGTAGGAAGTGAAGGATGAAAGGGAAGGACCCTGGAGGCCCATGGTCAAGAACATGACAAGAGTCAAAGTTTTGACTCCCCATCCTCAGGTTCAGCCAGCCTGGCAAGACAAATTTCACACTGTGCCAGGTTGGCCTCCAAACCCCAAATGCTGCAGCTGCAAGGTGGGGACAAAAGTCCCACACATGCTGGTCCCTCCTCGTTATAGGGCTCTCCAACTTTGGTGTAGCAGCTGACAAGGACTTCCAATGAGTTGTAACAAATCCATCAAACATTTCTTCGTAACTTCTTCATATGTGCTCCGATTCCAACAATTCTTGGCTCGTTGGAATGTGCTCGATGTCATGCACAATCCAAGCACATCTGCACAAGCACAAGATGAACATGCAAAGACATGCAAACCCAACAAACCATACAAACAACGTAGCACACAAAACACATGCAAACGAAATGATGCGAACAGACGACAGGATGACGTGCAAATGAATATGCACCAACAAATCGAAGCCAAGCAAAGCCAAGCCAAGCCAAGCCAAGCGAAGGGAAGCGAAGCGAAGCGAAGCCAAGCAAAGCCAAGCCAAGCGAAGCAAAGCAAAGCCAAGCGAAGCGAAGTGAAGCCAAGCGAAGCAGGGCCAAGCGAAGCAAAGCCAGGCGAAGTCAAGCGAAGTGAAGCGAAGCCAAGCGAAGCAAAGCGAAGCCAAGCGAAGCGAAGCAAAGGGAAGCCAAGTGAAGCCAAGCAAAGCCAAGCGAAGCAAAGTGAAGCCAAGCCAAGCCAAGCCAAGCAAAGCCAAGCGAAGCCAAGCCAAGTGAAGCAAAGCGAAGTGAAGCCAAGCAAAGCCAAGCGAAGCCAAGCGATGCTAAGCGAAGCCAAGTGAAGCCAGGCGAAGCGAAGCCAAACGAAGCCAAGCGAAGCGAAGCCAAACGAAGCCAAGTGAAGCGAAACCAAGCAAAGCGAAGCCAAGCAAAGTGAAGCCAAGCAAAGTGAAGCCATGCCAAGCCAAGCCAAGCCAAGCCAAGCCCAGCCAAGCCAAGCAAAGTGAAGCGAAGGGAAGCGAAGCGAAGACAAGCGAAGTGAAGCAAAGCAAAGCGAAGCGATGTGAAGAAAGGCCAAGCAAAGCAAATCCAACCAAAGCCAAGCGAAGACAAGCGAATCGAAGCGAAGCCAAGCGAAGCGAAGCCAAGCGAAGCCAAGCCAATCCAAGCCAAGCATAGCCAAGCGAAGCCAAGCATAGCCAAGCCAAGCCAAGCCAAGCCAAGCAAATTGAAGCCAAGCCAGGCGAAGCGAAGCAAAGCCAAGCGAAGCGAAGGAAAGCCAAACAAAACGAAGCGAAGCCAAGCAAAGCGAAGCCAAGCCAAGCCAAGCCAAGCCAAGCCAAGCCAGGGCAGGTGAAGCCAAGCCAACCCAAGCAAAACCAAGCCAAGCCAAGCCAAGCCAAGCGAAGCCAAGCGAAGCGAATTGAAGCGCAGCGAAGCAAAGCCAAGCGAAGCGAAGCGTGAGCTTCTCTCTATGTCAAGACCAGATGCATTGCAACTGCATGTATGTCTGTGGCATCAGGATCACCGTCGATGTCGAGTTGTTCAAGCCGCCGTATGGAGTCCTTGTTGGTGCATATTCATTTGCACGTCATCCTGTCGTCTGTTCGCATCATTTCGTTTGCATGTGTTTTGTGTGCTACGTTGTTTGTATGGTTTGTTGGGTTTGCATGTCTTTGCATGTTCATCTTGTGCTTGTGCAGATGTGCTTGGATTGTGCATGACATCGAGCACATTCCAACGAGCCAAGAATTGTTGGAATCGGAGCACATATGAAGAAGTTACGAAGAAATGTTTGATGGATTTGTTACAACTCATTGGAAGTCCTTGTCAGCTGCTACACCAAAGTTGGAGAGCCCTATAACGAGGAGGGACCAGCATGTGTGGGACTTTTGTCCCCACCTTGCAGCTGCAGCATTTGGGGTTTGGAGGCCAACCTGGCACAGTGTGAATTTTGTCTTGCCAGGCTGGCTGAACCTGAGGATGGGGAGTCAAAACTTTGACTCTTGTCATGTTCTTGACCATGGGCCTCCAGGGTCCTTCCCTTTCATCCTTCCCTTCCTACCCCACCTTCCAACTGTGCTTCAATGCCTTTTCTATCATGCCTCTGATCTTGTAAGCTTCAATCATAGTGACTCTGAGGACTGTCAACTTCTCCTAGAGCAGATTACCCCCCAGTGCGCCAAACGCCATAGCTCGCTCGTTAAGCTACGGAATCGAGTGATTTAACTTTCAGTGGAAAGCTGACGCTGCCAGCTACAACATATCCGATTTTCATATTGTTTCACCGATTGGAGTTTTGGATATAGCTATTTGAAGGTCGCGAGTTTTCTGGGCGTCATAACGAAGTGCTGCAGAAAATTTCCAAGGAGCCATTGAATCATCTGCTTATAGCCTTCTCTAACCAACAAGTGGTATCAGAGCCTATTATCACGCATTTGGGACCTAAAATACGATGGGAGATAAAGAGGACTCTGGTGGAGGTGATACTTCAGTCCAAGGAGGCAGCTCAACCCAAGATTCTGCATTGCAGCGCAAAGGGGAGCGCGTACAAGCCAGGGGTCACTGCTTAAGGAGGTGCTGAAGAACTTCACCATTGAGAAGTTCTCTGGCGATGGCTATGATGATTGGGCATGGAAGATGCAGCTCTACTTTCGACAAATTGGCCTCTTGAAGCTCATGATTGGAACGGAGCCAAGGCCAAAGGAAATGGCAGAGCAAGCGGACTGGGATGAACGTTCATTCTGCTGGGTATTATCTACTGTCACAAAGCTTGGAGCTGAACCAGAGGCATCACATCATGCATCTGCTACCGGAAATTGATTGTGGGCCCAAGGCATGGGCAGTGCTCAAGGACCTGCACGCTCCGACATCGGTTGCCGCTTCTCTCATGCTGGATCGGGAGCTGTCCATGCTGCGGTTGAGCGAGAATGAACCTGTGCAGCCCGTACTGGACAAGATGAGGGAACTCTACGCGAAATTGGCGATTGCAGGCATCACGTACCCAGAGCAGACAAAGTGTCTCAAGATGCTCAGCCTGCTGCCGGAGTCTTGGCTGCAATTTATAAGCGGACTCAGCTTGCCACAAAACCAAAGTCAATGGACATTGGAGTGGATTCGCACCAAGATTCTGGAAGAAGATTTTCGTCGCTATACACTGCGCGGAGGTGATGACAGCACCAGCGGCTATGCCATGCAAGGGACATGGAGGGATCGAGGGCGTGGCAATCGCGGTCGCTCCTACTACAACCAAGGTGGTCGCGGGACTTGGAACCAGCGGGGGCGTGGTGGCGCTGGTGCAAGAGGAAGAGGTGGTCACTCCAACAATGACAACAGTGAACCACGCTTGAGGGGAGAGTGCTGGTATTGCAAGGAAGAAGGGCATCCATGGTTTCGCTGCTCTACCAAGCCCGACTGGTGGACCCCATGGAACCAATCGCAAAAGGGGAATGGAGGAAAGCAACCACATGGAGGTGCCAACATGGTAGCTGATCCTGCTGAAGAAACCTCCAAGGATGACAGAGGAATGGGAAATGAGGAGAGGAATGCTGGACGGTTCTACCATGTGTGTGACAAAGATGACAGTGGCACAGCTGTTGCAAGGGCTGGAGAGGAATTGCACCCGCTTGACATGTGGGTCATGGACTCTGGTGCTGCATGGACAATGACACCACGCAAGGACTTGCTGGATGCTGTGCGAGCGACTCCAATCTCTGAAGTGCGCTCCGCATCCGGACATGCAGTGAAGGTCGCTGGAGTTGGTCGAGCTGCATTCAGAGCACCTGATGGTGGACTGGTTGTGCTGAAGGACGTGTTACTCGTACCGGGGCTGAAGGCCAATCTGATATTGCTGCGCAAGCTAGGCCAGGCCGGAGTCAGCACCACCACCAATGGATCCAAAACATTCAAGGGGCTGCGAGGAGATCGTGTGTTATGGGATTTACACGAAAGCAGAGATGTCTTCAGATCCATGTGGCAGATCCCTGCACTGATATGGGAATCAACAAAGAAGGAGTTGGGAGAAGTAAAGGCGGGATCTGGAGTCCAGGGGGAGTGTAATGCAGTTAGTGCTGCAGGAGTGACGGTTTCTGCAAGGTCGGGGGAGACTGATTGGGAAACCGCACACAGGCGTCTAGGGCATGTGGCTATGCCATTGCTGCAGCAACTGCATAAGGAAGAAGCAGTAAAGGGGCTCAAGCTTTCTGGGCAACCAAATGATACCAAGTGCGAGACGTGTCTGCTGAGCAAGTTCACACGGTTCCCCTTTCACGGCGTAGCTGGGAAAAGCAAGGCAGCACTGGAACTGGTGCACATGGACCTCGTAGGACCTTTTCCAGTCCGAGGAAGTAAGGGGGAAAGGTACTTCCTGACAATAGTTGATGACTGGAGTCGGCTGATGTGGGCATACCCGTTGAAGCAGAAGGATCATGCTGCCTCAACAATACGAGATGATTGGCTGCCGTTCGTCGAGCGACAATCTGGGCACCCATGCAAGAGCATCAGAACCGACCGAGGTGGAGAGTTTCTAGGAGGAGATCTGACTGCGTGGCTCAAGAAACAAGGCATTGAGCATCAGCTAACGACGTCCTATACCCCTCAGTCAAATGGCGTTGCTGAGAGGGCTAATAGGACCATCCTGGAAACTGCGCGAGCGCTGCTGATCGAATCAGGGCTGGGGAACTCCATGTGGCCTCATGCGGTGAGGCATGCTACAGTGGCAAGGAACCGCGTACTCACAAAGGTGGCTGATGATATGTGGGTGCCGCTGGAGAGGTGGCTTGGAAAGAAGCCTCCAGTGGACATGCTTCGCTTGCGTGACACGTTTTCTTTCTTGTGGAGTGTAACGTCGCTGTCACCGTACCTATAGAATGCCTACCATGCTTCTAGGTGGTGTTCCAACAGACGATTTCACTCATTTCTAGAACTGTCTTAGA